GTCAAATAAAATGACCCAAACAGACCTGTCTGCTTTCAATCTACCTGCTTTATGCTACGTCATAACATTCCTTAAACATATCCTTTATTTAAAATAACATTAATATTATAAAGCAGGGGGTTGCTATGAACTCTTTGTTCCACAAACTAAATTCGCTTACAAGTTGTATAATTTCCTATAGGGTGGATAGTTTTAAGGCTGAAAATTCATCTCTTGTACATTTTCTTCCAATGTACTTTCTATTGATTTCAAACCATAAATATCAAAAAAAAATCTATTTACTACATAACTATCATTAAAAAAATTTATTTTGCTCACTAAGCTTGTTAAGCTTCACAACTTGACAGGCGCTGTCGTTTTAATGTCAAAGGATCGACCCTCCAATGATAACCTATACAACTTTATCTGATAAACAATATATATTTTTGAAAGATTTCGTCGTAAATTAAACGTTTTTAAAACTGACAAATGAAAATGATCAATTTTCAAATAATAAACAATAATATCGTATTTGCTCTTGACTAGCTAAAGGTTTTAAGGGAACCAATATGACTCGAACAAACCACTCTATTATAATATTTTAAGGGAACCAATATGAATCGGACAAACCACTCTAGTATTATATTTTAAGGGAACCAATATGAATCGGACAAACCACTCTATTATAATATTTTAAGGGAACCAATATGAATCGGACAAACCACTCTAGTAATTTATTTTAAGGGAACCAATATAAATCGGACAAACCACTCTATTATAATATTTTAAGGGAACCAATATAAATCGGACAAACCACTCTAGTATTATATTTTAAGGGAACCAATATAAATCGGACAAACCACTCTAGTATTATATTTTAAGGGAACCAATATGAATCGGACAAACCACTCTAGTATTATATTTTAAGGGAACCAATATTAATCGGACAAACCACTCTAGTATTATATTTTAAGGGAACCGATATAAAATAGTAATATTTTACGGGTACCGATATAAACTATTAATATTTTAAAGGTATCGATATGAATAAATGGAAAAACACTTTAAAATACGACTACGTTAATTGGTGACGTCCGAAAACCAAGAATTTAACTTGTAAATTTTTTCTTTAAAAGATTACAAACAGCTTTATGTAAACAATAATAAAATAATTTAAATGATAACATTTCAAATCTGACTTGCAATCAGAAAAATTTAACTATTCACTTAAATATATAACTTTGAGGTATAAAATCTCCTACAGTATAAGAACAGTCAAATTCTTATCATTTTTATTTTCTTTTAATTATAAAATGTCGCAAAGCATTTTGTAATTTGCAACTTAAACTATTTTTTTTTAATTTGTTCTGAATATTTTTAGAGATGGGTTGCATCAAAACTCCTAAATTTCTCAAGATGAAGAAGAACAATTCTTTCCAAAGTTTTTTGCTTCTCACCGTATTGCATTAAATTTGCATTAAACCCACTAAAATGTGCATTGTGCAGTATCTAGTGTATAAAACTGGTGCTCAGAGCTGACGATACATTTTATTGTTGGATTTTAAACATATGCGTCACTTATACTACTCAGTAGTACTCAGAATTTTAGATATATAGATAGATAGATAGATTGAAAGAAAGATAGATAGATAGATATACAGACAGATAGATAGATAGCTAGATAGATAGATAGATAGCTAGCTAGCTAGCTAGATAGATATGTAAAGAGATAGATAGATAGATAGAAGAGCAGGGGTTTATATATTCCCTAGATTACTCCACATTCTCAGAGGAGTAGCATAGGCTAAAAAAATTAGATTTAGTTTTATTTTTGAAAATTCACCTTTTTTGGAAAAATTAGAAATTAGAAATTTTTTCAAGTGTTTTTAAATTCCATGGGCAACACTGGGCACTTAAGCTAGCATGTAATAAACTTTGATATACCTGTAATACATATTTATTTCAAGATATGCTATTTTTAAAAAATACCATAAGAGGTCAACCTAATGTTGGAGTCTGATTCACATAGCAAGGCGAACGGAGAAGGATTATGTGAGATCTTGGAACCTATGGAACGTGGATAGGTTCCAAGATTACGTAGAGGATATAAGCATGCAGAGAGGCTTACTTGTAAATAAACTGTAGTCAAAGATAGCAGTGGGACGGATAACAAGTCATCTCATCTATATCGTAGTACATTTTGAATTTCCGAGTCGGGTCAACCTTTCCGGTTCCAGTTTGTACTGTATCGCCGAGATATTGGGTAAATAAAGCAGACACTCAATAGGACTAGCCGGTGCAACAAGGTTGACGCGGTCAGACTTTAGGCTAAATTTACTTTTACTAAAGGGTCAGAGGTGTGTTTATGGAGATTTAGCCGTTAAAAATGCCATACCAAAGAAGATGCTTTGTGCGCATGCTTTAACGTGTGGAAAACCAAAGCCACTGTTGGACCATGGGAATTCTATTTTAAATTCAAGCCAATAGGCATAAGACGCGGCTTGACATGAGGTATGGGGAAATAGAATTGGCGTGGGTTAAAACCGAAATGAAAGTTGGTATTCACAAAAGAGTCTGAAGACGGAAGATTAACTCGTTGTAGGAGGCAAAAGAAAGCCAGAGAGTCTGTCAGAGAGCTCCGGCTTTTAAAGATTCATTAGTGTCACTTTAATTTGTTAATTTTTCCTTGTAAGTAGATTTTATCCTATATTCTGTAGATTTACTCACATTAGTTTTATGGCTTTAGATTTCTTTTATTTCATACCACTTTTAAATGGTAACAATACGCATGTGATTAAGGATACTGTAAGACTGTGTTAATATGATCTTTTTTTACAGTGGCATGTCCGATTCAAAACCCTACCCTTAAAACCTTTGACTTGACTGAAATGACATAGAGTTATCCCTCTAATTTATCCTAAATTGATCAGTTTTAATCGGACAAACCACTCTAGTATTATATTTTAAGGGAACCAATATGAATCGGACAAACCACTCAAGTATAATATTTTAAGGGAACCAATATTAATCGGATAAACCACTCTAATATTATATTTTAAGGGGCATATAATTATTGGACAAACCACTCTAGTCGTCCGAAAACCAAGAATTTAACTTGTAAATTTTTTCTTTAAAAGATTACAAACAGCTTTATGTAAACAATAATAAAATAATTTTAACTATTAATTACTACTTTACCGGGAGATTAAGGGAGGATAATTAAATTGAGGGGAAAACCACTTAGCCGAGGGCCTCCAAGACCTTTTTGGGGTTCTAAACCTCACGAAATTTTCAGAAAAATTTAACTATTCACTTAAATATAACTTTGAGGTATAAAATCTCCTACAGTATAAGAACAGTCAAATTCTTATCATTTTTATTTTCTTTTAATTATAAAATGTCGCAAAGCATTTTGTAATTTGCAACTTAAACTATTTTTTTTTAATTTGTTCTGAATATTTTTAGAGATGGGTTGCATCAAAACTCCTAAATTTCTCAAGATGAAGAAGAACAATTCTTTCCAAAGTTTTTTGCTTCTCACCGTATTGCATTAAATTTGCATTAAACCCACTAAAATGTGCATTGTGCAGTATCTAGTGTATAAAACTGGTGCTCAGAGCTGACGATACATTTTATTGTTGGATTTTAAACATATGCGTCACTTATACTACTCAGTACTCAGAATTTTAGATATATAGATAGATAGATAGATTGAAAGATAGATAGATAGATAGATATACAGACAGATAGATAGATAGCTAGATAGATAGATAGATAGCTAGCTAGCTAGATAGATAGATAGATAGGTAGATAGATAGATAGATAGATATACAGACAGATAGATAGACAGCTAAATAGATAGATAGATAGATAGATAGATAGATAGATAGATAAATAGATAGATAGATAGATAGATAGATAGATAGATAGATAGATAGATATATAGATTTATATATAGATAGATAGATAGATAGATAGATAGATAGATATATAGAGAGATCAGGGAGTAAGGAATAGAAGGGAGATATAACTGACGCGGTTCGCCCTCCCATATGATTATACATGCTTTACAGACGAAGTACTCCATTTGAATGAGAGTTTTTTTAAAGGTCGTCTTTTAATTTTTTAAATGTTATTTTTACTTTACCATAATAAATAAAAACAATCTTATTTAGTATAAAAAAATACGTTTGTATTGCTAATAATTTTGCATCTTAAAAAATGAATTTATTTGGCGATGTTCAGCATACTTTTTTCCTTGTTAAATGTATTCAATCACCTTTTCTGAATACATGTACGCGGTAATTGTGCATTAGACGACATTTAAATATTTCTTATTCAAATGGAGTACTTCGTCTGTAAAGCATGTATAATCATATGATAGGGCGAACCGCGTCAGTTATATCTCCCTTCTATTCCTTACTCCCTGAGAGAGATAGATAGATAGATAGAAGAGCAGGGGTTTATATATTCCCTAGATTACTCCACATTCTCAGAGGAGTAGCATAGGCTAGAAAAATTAGATTTATTTTTATTTTTGAAAATTCACCTTTTTTTGGAAAAATTAGAAATTTGAAATTTTTTCAAGTGTTTTTAAATTCCATGGGCAGCACTGGGCACTTCAGCTAGCATGTAATAAACTTTGATATACCTGTAATACATATTTATTTCAAGATATGCTATTTTTAAATTATATAGTAATAGGTCTATAACCCGATGTTGGAGTCTGATTCACAAGCAAGGCGGACGGAGAAGGATTATGTGAGATCTCTGAACCTATGGAACGTGGATAGGTTCCAAGATCAGGTAGAGGTTATAAGCATGAAGAGAGGCATACTTGTAAATAAACTGTAGTCAAAGATAGCAGTGGGACGGATAACAAGTCATCTCATTTATATCGTGTAGGGAGATTTAGCGGTTAAAAAATGCCATCTCAGAGAAGATGCTTTGTACGCATGCTTAAACACGTGGAAAACCAAACCACTGTTGGACCATGGGAATTCTATTTAATTCAAGCCAATAGGCATAAGACACAGCTTGACATGAGTTAGGAGGAAAATCGAAATGAAAGTTAGTATTCACAAAAGAGTCTGAAGACGGAAAATTAACTCGTTGTAGGAGGCAAAAGAAAGCCAGAGAGTCTGTCAGAGAGCTCCGGCTTTTCATGATTCATTAGTATCATTTTAATTTGTAATTTTTTTCCTTGTAAATAGATTTTATCCTATATTCTGTAGATTTACTCACATTAGTTTCATGGCTTTACATTTCTTTTATTTCATACCACTTTTAAATGGTAACAATACGCATGTGATTAAGGATACTGTAAGACTGTGTTAATTTGATCTTTTTTTACAGTGGCATGTCCGATTCAAAACCCTACCCTTAAAACCTTTGACTTGACTGAAATGATATAGAGTTATCCCTCTAATTTATCCTAAATTGATCAGTTTTAAATATTGTTCTCATTAAAAGTGACTTGCGGAGTTATGCAACAGTGAGAAAGAACAACATTGTTAGAATTAAACACTTTTCCAAATTAAAAAGTAACAATATCTTTCTCACTGTTGCTCAGATGAAAGCGGAAAGGGTACCATTATGAATCCGGCATGCTACTCTTTTTTAATTGAGGGAAAATTGAAAATAAGTCGACAGAAAATTACATTTAAAGAGTTGAATTTTTTTTAAAAACTACAAGGGAAAATTTTCGTCTTTTTTCTTTTCATCTTTTTGTTTCTGTACATTGTCTTCTTTTTTTCTGTGTTCTTCTTTTCGTCTTTACGTTTTTTTTCTTCATCTTTTCGTTTGGCTCGTTAGTCCTGTGTTGAAAACCAAACTAGGGTATGAACAGATTCAGGTTGGATGGTTAGAATTTGACTGGACATAGCTCCATCTTCGATCCGTACCTTTACAGCACTCTCTAAATGCCTAGATATAAAAGAAGGAATTGAACATTAAATATAGATGCCCCCCTTAAGATATGATAAACAGGACCCAGATAAGGTTGGAAACTGATGATAATCAGGACCTAGATAAGGTTGGAAACTGATGATAAACTGGACCTAGATAAGGTTGGATACTGATGATAAACAGGACCCAGATAAGGTTGGAAACTGATGATAAACAGGACCCAGATGAGGTTGGATACTGATGATAAACAGGACCCAGATAATGTTGGAAACTGATGATAAACAAGACCCAGGTAATTGGAAACTGATGATAAACAGGACCCAGATAAGGTTGGAAACTGATGATAAACAGGACCTAGATAAGGTTGGACACTGATGATAAACAGGACCCAGATAAGGTTGGAAACTGATGATAAACAGGACCCAGATAAGGTTGGAAACTGATGATAAACAAGACCCAGGTAATTGGAAACTGATGATAAACAGGACCTGGAGAAGAAGGTAAATGGTAAAAGTAACAGATTTTTGTTCTGGGTCAATCTGCTAAACAATCCTGCGATGATGATGTACAAAAAAGGAAGACTTAAGCTGCCAAAAATTCCAGGACAAATTCTGAGTCGAAGCGTCTTTCTCATTTATATAGATTTAGTCTTCCATTAGTTTTCCTTGGGGTCTACACATTGAAGACATAATACTTTACTTGTTAGTAATCACAAGCACAGTTGCACCATCCGGGCGTTTAACTCCCACCATCTAGAAAAAAACATAATTTCAATATTATAAAAATTTACAGAAATTTTGAAATATAGGGCGAAAAATTCGGTTGCAACCGAAAGTTTCCGAAAATTAACCAATGTTCTGTAAAAAAACCCCGGAAAATTATTACTTAAGAACAAACGGTAAATACGTTAATTACTAACAAATACATTAGAGACGCAATACGATAATTGTAAAGTCCGAACCAAACATTGTTAGAAAGGAATTGAAACTTGGCCACAAACTCAGATTTTTAAATATCTATAATCTTTGCAACCTGATGGTGTAAATCAAGGATATTTCAAACTTAGATTAGAGTTTAGTAAAACAGAGATTAGGACAGATACAAAATTCAATTCAATTGAACATAAATATGAAAAAGGATCTGCGTTTTTGCCGAAAATCTAATTTTCTAATCTCTATATCTTTGCAACGTGATGGTGCAAACCTTTTATATTTCAAGCTCAGGCTTTTTGATCTAGTAGAATTCACAATTTGTAAAATTAAAGGTCTACGACATCGGGTAGCAAGCATATAGGGATTCAAAAATTAGAATTTGTGGCAAAAACTCATTTTCTTTGATACTGTAGAATACAGAAAACTGACTTTATTTGCCGGATTTTTAATTAAAATAGAAATAAATTGTGACCGAGTTATTTGGATACAGCCCGTGCAAACTGTATCCTGAATACTGGATACGCCTGATGTTCTGTATTCTATATGTATACTGAATACAGTATTCACCTGATATCCTATTTTCTATCTGTGCCGTGGATATAACCTTCATCCTATCTAGCTGTATCCAGAATATTATCTGTATCCTATCTATATACAGGATGTTACCTGTATCCTTTCTGTATCCAGGATATTATATCTCTCCTATCTGTATCCAGAATATTATCTGTATCCTACCTATATACAGGATATTATCTGTATCTTATCTGTATCCTATCTGTATCCTATCTGTATCCTATCTGTATCCAGGATATTACCTGTACCCTATCTGCATCGTATCCCTGGGTATCAACTCCAATCCTGACTGACCCCTCTGTCATGAATTTACTAAAATGTCCCATTGCGTAGTACATCGGGTTCTTGAACACTTTAAGAGGGTTGCAATACATGTCCAATTTTTCAAGGCCAGAGTCCGAATACAATAAATTTGAGCCGCGTCTCAAATCCGCCAAAAACTGGCTTTAATTGAGCGCCGGCTTAAATCTTGAAACATTGAACTCAATTTTAAGTGAAGCCAACCATATTTGAGCTGCGTCTAAAATTTAAGCTGCGGCTGAAATTATTCGGCAATTCCTCATTGAAACAAAATTATACCGCTAACTTTAAAAGTTCGGGTGCTAGGCAGGTTTGAATAAAATGTCAAAAAAAACGGTCGCGAAATTTAAAAAAAATATTTTTTTTTCTTCATGACACATGTTAAAATGTAATAGATACATGTTATTACATCCATTTTTAAGGGCTGTTCAAAAATGTAGTTTTAAGAACTGGAGCTTTAATAACAAAAAAGTTCTGGACTATTCTAGATTTGTTATGGCAATGACCGGCCTTTTCACAGCCCTGAACCCAGTGCAAAAAAAATTAACTTACACTGTCTTAAAAGTAAAAAATTTCAACCCCTATGCACATTTGATATTGAAGCATCAAATATAAACTTTTGTCCCCAAAAATATGACTTTTCTAAAATTTTCACTTACCAGAAATCCTAGGAAATCCACATACCAGTGTACAGCCCAACCAGACACAAACTGGGCAGCTCTTTAAAGGGAGTGTTCGCACATTAATGTAAGGCAACAATCAAGTTATGACTCAGTAAGAACACTTGATATTTATGGAGACAAATTAAACATAACTTAAAAGGACTGTAGACGTAATTTCAAGAGACTCTAATCTTGAAAAATAATGAATTTTATCCTTTTCATTTTTTAGAAAACTGCCCATTTCTAGCTTCAGAAACAATGGAGAAATTAAACACTTTTTAAACAAAAAAAACGACCATTAAGGTTTAGAGGATACTGCAGGTCGGGCATGCAGCAGTTTAAAACGAGAGTTACTTGAAGAAACCTCGGTTATATTTTTAAACATACAGGGTTACTCACAATGGATGAGACTTCGGAACGGAATTTGAACTGTCTGTTTCCTTATATTCACGATTCCCTGCAACTGTGAACTTAATTTTTTCATTGCCAAGTCATTACATAAGCCATATCTATTAAGCAGAATACATAATTTAACCTGGGGATTGTCACATTTTCCTGACGACTTAATACAGTCTCATCCTTTCCTGGGAAACCCTGATATACGAAAAAATATATTTACTTTGGATTCTCCATAACTGTTTCTGCCCATGCTCGTATAAATGGTCGTTGGTCGTCAAGAGCCATCAGTATAACGTCAGCATACCTACAATTTTATATACTGTATTTCCACCGACCAAAAAGGCTGGTTCTTTCTAATTTATTTCTTTATTAGGAAGGTCAGCGTATGTTTACATACAGTTTACATAGGATAGGATCATTTGACAGTAATTTTAAGATACACTAAAAATAAATCAGAGATACTTATTAAAGAAGTCCAGTTTTTTTTCGGTGGAAATACATAATATAAGATAAATATAAATATAGATTATAGATATATCTATAAGGAAGGGGCACAATATTTACAGTTTAATTTAACCCGAATTTGAAGAATTTGAACGTCCGGTTTAAACAAAAAAGAGTTTTGAGATTTGAGCCGGGACTAAACTGAAACCGGTTGTTGGCGGTTCCAGTTGAGCCGGGACTAAACTGGAACCGGTTGTTGGCGGTTCAGTGACGCCATTCAAATTCTTTAAATTTGGCCTCCGGTCCTCTGAACCATTGCAGGTTGTTTTGAATGAGAATCTCTTTTTAATAAGCGATTAATGCAGATTAAATCAAAATAAACAAAAGGAAATTACTATATACTATATATAGATTGGGAACCCAGCGCTGCCAAGGTTACTAAAAGTTACTCCCGCCGTTTACTCGCACTTGAACGATGTTACTGGGAAACTAAATTTCGGTATTAAAGTCAACCCAATCTCAAAATCAAGAACATCTCCCGAATTCTCCAATCAACTTTTGAGGCAAATCGGTCTAGGGGGGTAGCTAAGTCATGTTCTGACAAACAAACAAACAGACACCCAAACAGAGATTACAACTTTATATATAGATATAAATTAGTAATCTCTGTTTGTTTGTTTGTAAATCTTATCATAACTCATGAATCCCTTGAACGATTTTGATTGGGGGAACAACTCGGTAGAGCTACTGAAATGTTATTAGCTTGGTTTAAAGTTCTAAGTTGAGTGGGTCAAAGTTTAGTTTTATTTATTTATAAATTTAATCTGTGATAATTCAGATATAAAATTTTAAAAAAATGTTTTATTTTTTTATTTTTATTCTTATTTTATCTGATATTTCTTAAGTGAGTATACAAATAATGTTAACGGATCTAGAGCCGAGATTTTAAAAGAATTACATCCCGAACTATGGTTCAATTATTATTCGACAAATGATAAAAGTTTAATTTCTGAGAAGATTATTCAGTCCAATTAATTTATTTTATACAACTAGAAACCGACACCGAAGGAGTTGATTTTTTGCTACAAAATCAAATTTTTGAATCCTCATATTTTTGCAATTGATGCTTAACAGAATTCATAGTTTAAAATATTATAGATAGCTACGAAAATTGGTTGCAAATATTGCAAACATGTAAAGATTAGAAAATCATAGTTTGTGGCAAAAACTCATTCAGGTGAATGGCAACTTTAAACTCTACATAAGATGATAATGAATAACTTTAGTACAATTGTGTATGAGTTGTCACTTTTTGTTTTAACAGTAAAAATCAAAGACGACTTTACATATTTGTCCCTTAATTAATTTATGTAGTTACTCCAGTCACCTGAGTCGAAGCATTCCATCCCATGCAGTTAAACGAAAAATCTGGAATATCTCCATCATATGGTTCATTCTGAGCAGTTAGCCCCCAGAATTCTACTCCTAGCTCCCTTTATTTATAGATATATTATATATAGGGTTCATTCTGAGCAGTTAGCCACCAGAATTCCACTCCTAGCTCCCTTTATATACAGATATATTATAAATATGGTTCATTCTGACCATTTTTAACCTTCAGAAGGTCAGAATTAAAGATTTTCAGGTCGTCATTAAATTCTTAACTTTTGTGGGTAACCTTGTTAAAATAAATGTTATATGCTCTTAGCCCTAAAAGTCTACAAAGCACTTTAATACAATTTGAGTCTTTGCCACAAACTCAAATTTTCTAAATCCTTATCTTTGCCACCCAATGCCGTAGACCTTAGATTTTTCAAACTATGAATTCTTGTAGATCAATAATCTAAGTTTGAAATAGCAAAGGTTTGCGCTATCAAGTTGCGAAGATATAGGAATTAGAAAATTTGAGTTTGTGACAATGGCTCAATTCCTTTGATCTTTTTTTCTGCTTACTTTTATTTTAATTTTAATCTTTTAACGCTTATCAATTGTATAAAAAATTACTTGTAGGAGTCCAAGAACTTTATAAAATAATTTGCCCAAGCTGAATAATACTCTGGCAGCAAATATCCCTGAAAAATTTAAAATAAAATAAAAGATTTTTTTGACCCTCCCTGTGAATAACTGCATGCCCGATTTGTATCCAAAAAAGGAAACAACAGTACAAAGGATAAACAGAGGTGGTACTGTTGTGAATCAATAATTCAATTTTGGGGTTTCCTTGAAGCTTTGTTGACAGTCCCTTTAAGGAACCGAAATAATCAGGTAGACGCCAAAGGTAGTTACGTGCGCATGCCGCAATGAATTAAAAGACTATGAGAGAGCTTGTTCTAGCCGCGGCGCTTATCCCCCTTGCCTGTCCTAGACGTGGCGCTCGTCCTCCTAGCATGTTCTAGCCGCAGCGCTCGGCCCAGAATTTGTCTTAACCTCCCCTAACCCTAAAATGTATACTATATATCTCTCTCTTCTTGTATTTCAACACGGCAAGTGTACGTAACTTCCTTGGGTTGCTACCAAATAATGAACATGTATGAATCATTCTTAAGCTTTATCTTTCATTAAATTTGGTATGAATGATTTTTTCAATATTTGTTATTAGAAAAGTTTTTTAGAACTAAATTGCAAAACCATTTGTTATCTTTCCATTAATGATATTACAATGCTAATTCATAACAAAGACGATATCGAATTCGTCACTGAATTCCCATGTTTTTTGGGACACCCTGTAGATGGCTCATGTCGTCTTCAACATGACGGAGGGTTAAAGCTAAAATTGAAAATGGCAATTTTCAACTTTACAGTATGCTTTAGCGACCTATTCTTTTGTATATTATCCACAGCAAAAACTGATCTTAAAATTGATTAGGTTTTCAAACCTTTGAAAACAATTGTATTTTTGGGATTGTACTGATATCTTCTGTATTGTTATTTCTTCAGAAATATCAAAATGGAGTTAACTAAATCCGTTGAAATGCAGATAATTGTTGTTTGAAAGGAATAACGTTACCTGACCATTTAATGCATTGTTTGATTTCATCCAGGCCGGTGCCGACCATGGGCTTGCAAACATTTTAATCTAAATATTGCAAACATTTTAATCTAAATATTGCAAACATTTTAATCTAAATATTGAAAAAATTTTAATCTAAATATTGCAAACATTTTAATTTAAATATTGCAATTATTTTAATCTAAATATTGCAAACATTTTAATTTAAATATTGCAAACATTTTAATCTAAATATTGAAAAATTTTTAATCTAAATATTGAAAACATTTTAATTTAAATATTGCAAACATTTTAATCGAAATATTGCAAACACTTTAATTTAAATATTGCAAACATTTAATTTAAATATTGCAAACATTTAATTTAAATATTGCAAACATTTTAATTGAAATATTGCAAACATTTTAAACTAAATATTGCAAACATTTCAATCGAAATATTGAAAACATTTTAATTTAAATATTGAAAACATTTTAATTTAAATATTGCAAACATTTTAATTTAAATATTGCAAACATTTTAATTTAAATATTGCAAATATTTTAATTTAAATATTGCAAACATTTTAATCTAAATATTGCAAATATTTAATCTAAATATTGCAAACATTTAATTTTAATATTGCAAACATTTTAATCTAAATATTGCAAACATTTAATTTAAATATTGCAAACATTTTAATCTAAATATTGCAAACTTTTAATTTAAATATTGCAAGCATTTTAATTGATATAAATCAAAATTGAAAGTCGTCTTCATTGTACTGATATAAATTAAGATGACTGTATGATCTGATTATTTCTTTAAAAATGAATATAGAGGGGAGAGTAATTTAGCTAACCTGTTTATTTGATATCTGTTTAGCTTGATTAATATAGGGAATCTTGTAAAGGGTATCATCTACTGTTAGATTAAATGTTGATAATTCCGTATCCCCAGGAGTGTCACAATACGTATATTCTCTAAATAAAAGTATCAGGGGCCTAATCAGGAATTTGTCCAGGGGGGTAACATTTTTTCTTTTTAGGGGTAACGCAGTGAATCTTAACTTTTTCAAACTGTGAATTCCGTTATATGAAATAATTTAAGATTTAAATAATAAAGGTTTACGCCATCAGGTTGCAAAGATATATGGGTTAGGAAAGTTTGTGGCAAAAACTCATTTCCTTTCTATTATTCTTTTATTAGCATTGCAGTGATATAAAAGAAAACATAGAAAAGCAATTACAGTATAAAGATTTTTAAGGTTTTCAATTTTGTAAGACACAATTATCTATATATTTTCGAGTAATTTGAATCCCCTTTAGTTTTAGTAATAATATTTTAGGTAAAATATTATACTAATAATAAATAAATTGAATTTCTTAAATCCAAATGAATTTTTTTGATTTTTTCTCTTACCTGATCAAATTCTCTTGAGCTTCTTTACTTAGTTTCGCAATATTTATGCCTGTAAAAAAAATCAGAAACAAAGGTTTATTTACAGCAGTCGTTTTATACATCAACTAACTTGGGAACCCAGCGCGCGTTGCACAGGGTACTCATTATTACTCCCGTCGTTTACCCGCAGTTGGTCGATTTTTACCGGGAAACTGAATTTTCGCTATGAAAGTCGACCCACTAAACTTAGAACATTCCCATGACTCTCCCGAGTTCCCCAATCAAAATTTGAGGCAAAATACTGAAAAGACTGTAAAGAATTAACCGAAAATTAGGGGTCTGAAAATTCTGGAAAATCCCAAAAAGGACCAAAAAAGCCGAAAAAGATATATTGGTGTCGCACAGCGAATTGGGCTTTAACCTGCAGCATCAGTAAAAGCTCCTCCAAATCCAAGAATAGTTTGATAAAGTCTAGAACTATCAACATTTACAAGAACTCCAACAGTTTCATCACCCTCGCCCCACTCAACAGTACTTTGTGCAAACCTTATAATTAATGCAAAGTCAAATATGATTTAAATCTTTTTCAACATTCTATTTGTATTTTTTTTTGCGAATTAAGATTTAAACCTTTTGATTTGAAATAATTGTATTCGTGTACGGCTGTATAGTATTAAGGCAGATGGTGTAGATATATACAGGTTGTCTAAAAAACGGGAATAAGGACCTACAGACTCGTTTGTAACCGGATTTTCAAGATCGAGACCATTTTTGATATTTACGTAAAATTTCCGATTCAATGAGCCCATTTTAAGGCTTGTAGGATTTAAAATAACAATTTTATAGGCTCCTACACCCTCATTCACTTTACGAACTTGAGGTCAAAAAGAGAAATAGCTGCCCTGGACCCAGCATTAAATACAAAATAGATTATTTTTTACTTAATACTAGCTCCAGCTTTTGATTTATTTTACCTTTTTCCTTCCCTATCAGATTCAATATGGAGAATTGTGTTTGCCTCAATATCTAACAATAGAATATTCTTTAAATTGTAAAAAATAAGTAGTATAATCTTAGCATTTAATATTGCAGATCGGACATAAAGAAATAACGCTAAAAGTTGTAAAATATAAAATTAAAAACATGAAATATTAATGTAGAGTGATTTTTTTTATATTTTCCACACAAAAACTATTCCTTTGGCAATGAGGGGCGATAACTTGGTTCATTTTTCTAAGATTATTGCAGACTTTGTAAAACAAAAGTTTTTTTGGTCCGTTTTTGCAGGGATCTTAGCTCGTAGAGTTAAAATTTTGCAACGTTTAAGGAAAACACATGTTGAGAATAAACAATTTTAAAATTTGAAGGACCCTTCAGATTTTCGCGGAATCTTTCAAAAACTAAAACATTTAAAGTTAAAAAAACGAACCAACTTATTCCTTCGTGTGACCTTTCGTTTCAATGCAACTTTTGTAATCCACGTATCAATTTGCAACCTGATGGTGTAAATTTAAAATTTGAATAATTCTATATATATTTATGGTTTAGCGAAATCATAATTCAAAGATTAAAGAGTTAAGAATGTGAAGTATGTTAAGTGTTTTAGATTCTTTCAAGCAAAAAGTTTAAAATAAAGTGTTTTTAAGTATAAACAATACCTGGTATAGAGAGTGTATCACAGTAAGTACTATTACAAACACAAACATGGGATGTATGGCCAAAACTTCTCTCAATGCAACCTAAATCTTTTTTTTTAGTTCGGATTTGTTCACCAGTGATCAGATATTTTAGCATTTGGCGCCAAAATAATTTTAAAAATGACAATCTAGACAATATATTATTTTCATTTTAGACAACTTTTAGAGAATAGAAAATGTTTTCATTGTAATGTTTAGCATTAAAACACAAATATGAATACACGAACCTGCTGCAGCTGCTTCAGTTACCATTAAGGAAATCAGCTGATGAAGAAAAGCAAGTCTCAAGATGGTGGACATTTTCAAGATGGAGTACATTTTCCACTACTTTCAAACATTAAAATAGCTGGTGATTTTCTTTGAAGCTATACAGTTAGAAGTTGAGATCTATAAAAGCAGTGGAATTTTCGTCGCCTCTTAATTAGAATCTTGTAATTTTTAACTGAACAATTTCTAAAAATAATTTAGTTTTGTAGATTTGCAACAGTGGAAAATTACAATATCCGTTGCAACTTTTTAATGTCAATGGAAACACAAAGCAGACGTCAAAAATTTCACAGTTTTCTTGTGTTTCTGTAGTTTTTTTAGGTAGGAATTTTAAGAAAATTAAATCCCGGCGGGGACGAAAGTGAAATCCGGTATACAGTGCAATTTTATCTGTCACGCTTGAGGCCGAACCATAAGGTTACGTCAGAAGGTTGCAAAAATATAAGAATTAAAGTTTATGCCGAATGTTCCGTTACATTGCAGCTATTCAATAATAGATAATTATTTTTTAATGAATGAGTTAGTTTTGAAGATATTTTTGATAATTCCTCTTTGATAAGTGCTTTCAGATACTTCATAATCAAAAGAATATGTTACTCCTTGAAGTGATCAATAAACAAAATAAGTAGTTTATGTGAATGAAAAGGGTCATTAATACAATATATTTTTTTAAGAAGACAGATTTAATGAAAAAAGCGTTGTCGAAATAAAACCATAAAATTGATAGATGACAGTCTAAAAAATGCTAGAAAAATAGGTGTGACACACGATGTGATAGGATGAGTCTGCAAAGACGACCTGAAACTCTATTATTTTGGCAATCCCTAGGTTAAATTAAGTCTTCTGTCCTTACAAACAATCTTTTAATGACTTATTTAATGTTTTGGCAAAGAAAGAAAGATGTTTATAGCTGCGGGGAATCGTGAATATATGGAAAACAGATTCTGTACATCCTCTCTGAAGTCTCATCCTTTGTGGGTAACCCTGTATGTTACGATTTTAAACTTGAAAACAGCGTAATTGGGAAAAATACTGCTTCAAATGAAAACATAATCTACAAATGGTGTTAGAAGTGAAACTAAAGAATTAAATGTTCAGATAATGCACAGTAAGTATATAACACAGGGCTACCCACATAAGATGGACTTCATTCAGTCTTTTTCTAGCATTTACGGTTCTGCAGCAATGGCATTTGTTAAATCCGATTTAACCCTTTAGGTCGTCGTTGTATTTAAATAAGTATAGGTCGTCATTAACGTTTCATTTATTGTGGGTAGCCCTGTATAGTTTTTGTTTAACCTGATGGTGTGGGATATACTGCACTGCTGGAATTAAAGATAAAGACGTTATCTCGCACAAAAACGAGTATTTAAAGAGAGCGGCCCCATTTTGTTTGATGTTAATTAAAGGGACTGTAGACGTAATTTAAAGTGACCCTTAACAAGTAAAAAATTGTGTTCAAGTCACAAGTCCGTAGAAACCTATGTAAGTGTCAATAACTTTGTTCAGAGTTAAAGATAATTATTAGTTGTTTTTTGGGAACAACAAGAAATAAATGTTAATAAATTGAAATTACGTGATGAAAATGACGCGACAAGACAAGTAACTTAACATCCCCGCTGTCGTGTTGTAGCAATGTCGATGACGTTTGTCTAAAGGTCTAAAAAATCTGTAATTTTAGAAGAATTAATTTGCTTTATTTACTGCTTTAAAGCTTTTAAATGGCCATTGTAAAATATAAATTTATATATTTCATTAATCATGCATATAACTGTATTTTATATCATGCAGAAAAAAACGGTTCCTAGATTCCAACTCTTTGATAAATCAAGGGGATTCTTGCAGAAGTAAGGAAAACGTATCAAACTGACAAAATGAAGATCTGGGGCTTAAGAAACGTCAAAAAGTATCAATGACAAAGTAAAGGTTCTACAGGGATAAACATGTTATTTGATATTTGCATCTATTTGATTTCAATCACAGAACTTTTTCAATTCAGAAAGAATTAAACATTTAAAAATATGATATTACTGAGATCCAGAAACTAGGTTTTCACTTGGCCTTTGGTTTTTTCTTACTAACACAATTATTCTTTTTTTGTAGAATTATGCATGTTCATTTTAAAACTACAAGGTGCATTTTCAAAGTTCAGCTTAACAAGGATTAACTGGCCCAGTTCTCATTTTTGTGATGAAGTGACACATGAAGCGGAATTTAAAGAATTTGAGACGCGGCTCAAATATAGTTGGTTCCACTTAAAATTGTGTTTAACGTAAGATTTAAGCCGGCGCTCAATTGAAACCAGCTTTTGGCGGATTTGAGACGCGGCTCAAATTCATTAAATTCAAACTCTGATCGGTAGAATGAATCAGATTATAATGGAGAATATTCAAGATTTAGAGAAAACTGGGAGAAACACCAGCATCTTTGCAGCATCATTTTCAGGTCGTCTTTACAGTCTTATCCTTTTTGGGTAACCCTGTGGACCTTGTATTTATTATTGTTACCACAGTTTTGCCTGATACAGACGACAAGAGTATATCAGAGATTAAAGCTCTACTCAACAACACAGATAAAGAAGAAGAAGAAGCCTGTTCTAAACTATATCCTAGAAAAGACAATTGGTCTCTGTTGTTGACTGAGTTAAAAATGATTGTTTATCTAGATTAAAGGGACTGTAACCATAATTCTTTTAACACCTTTTACATTCCATTCAAGTTATGAAAAATACATTAATTACCAATGGATTACTTTTTATTAATTTATTAATTTGTTCTAAGACTGTATTAGGAGATTTACGTAGTAAACCGCAATCTTGCGAGTTGTACATTTCCTGCCACTTTAATATGCTAACTTGTCATGTTATTGTGCATTTCCTGCCACTTTAATATGCTAACTTGTCATGTTATTGTGCAATAAATATTACTTCTTACTTAAACTTAATTCTAAGTGACCCTTCATGCAACAATGAACATTAGCGTCGTTTTTATACTCGAAAAGTGTTTAAGTTTTAATCGTCTATCCATTGCTTCTTATAAAAAAATATTCGTAAGAGAAATTGTTAAATAAAAAAATTGCAAAATTATAACACATTTTAGTTTTTGGTTCAACATATAGAAAAAATGAAAATAAAAAGGGAACTTTTTTTTCTTTGTAATTTTGCAAATAGTCGTTTTTTTAGGCTAGCCGATACAGCCGTGAACACAAAAGTTCTGTTCTGAAAAGGAAAATATGTCGTGAATCGGACATGTCTTTCCATGAATTGAGGGTGACTTGAAATTAAGCCTTTAGTCCTTTTAAATGCTTTGATATTTTACTTTATAAGATCTAAAGAAAGATTATTATATTTTAATGCTACCGAATTAATACCATCAATGTAATTACTGGAATAAGATTAGGATCATTTGTTTGCCCTCTATTAATTTTGTCCTATAATTCAACCTTTTATTTTTTCTAATTTGTTCCGAAAATTCTGATATTTATGGTTTTTACCCTCATGAAATAATTTGATAATGACAGCATTTACACTATAAAGAGTAGTTAAACATAGTTTTAGGGATGCTGCAAGTGTAATATTGTCAAAAAAATTCATTTATTTATATTCAAATAATTTGTAATTAAACTAGGTATACCAAATACAAGATAAAAATTTTAAAATAGAATTTTTAAAGTGAAAATGAAATTACACACTCAAGCTATTGCAAAGAATTTGATAATGAATATTAATAAAATGAATTAATTTCACTTAAGCGTAAAGGAACCATAAAAGTAAAAATGTATGAAACCCTGATAAGAGGATTGAGGAGACATTACCTTAACCTTTTGTTTTATTGATTTGTTAATTTGTAGACTGCCATGATTAATATTGGTCAGTATATGATATATATATTAGAAGATAACAGTTCTGTATTTTTATGCATAATTTACGGATTTGTTTTTAAAAATCAAAGAGCATTGGCCTAATCCGAAACTGTTGTTTAAAAGCCGCTGGAGTCTGCTATTCAAAACTCACAAGCTAGAATATACTGTTTAAATCCATAAGCTAGTTCAGTAGCAGCTGTTTAAATCTTCAAGCTAGGATCAACTGGTCAAAAATCCACAAGCCAGTAGCAGCTGCATTTAAATCCTCAAGCTAGTTCAGTAGCAGCTGTTAAAATCTTCAAGCTAGGATCAACTATTCAAAAATCCACAAGACAGTAGCAGCTGCATTTAAATCCTAAAGCTAGTATTAACAGTTTAAAATCCACAAACAAGTATTCACTGCTTTAAATACTAGCACATATCAGCCGTTTACAATCCACAAGCTCAGCTGTTAAAAACCATAAGCTGATATTAACTATTAAAATTTTAAAGCATAGTATGGTATAAGCGCTTTAAAAATTTAAATACTATATTATCATCAGCTCAATTTTCACAAGCTAGAATCAACTGCCTGTAATACTTACAATTTCAAGAATAAGCATTTCAAAATGGTAGACCATTTGAAACTGAAAACATGTACGCTAGTTTACATGCTTCTTACATCTATGTACTATGTCCCTGGAAATCTGACTTTTGTCATCGACACTGCAGCATTACCAGTCTCAGTTGGCTCACTTCACATAATGTACATGTACTTCAAAACAAGACCTCATGTCCATCAAACCGTAATAACTGGTCTAATGAAGATGTTTCTACTGACGGTACTTCTACTTGCGATCAGAAACTACATGATGTCCATAATGGTAAACCTACTCAACAAGTTCACCAAGGAGATGTTTAAGGGAAACCCAACCTTAATATGCAGTTTGACCAATCCAAAATGGGTTTACATAGGTATGCTAAATGTGCTCTGCTGCCTCACAATATCAAAAAACTTTCTCATTTTCAAACCAGACCGTTTTTTCAATCTGAACCATGAAAGATGGACTTGGGTTAGCTTTGTTCTCACACTTGCAGCCATTCTAACAGACATACTAATCTACACAGGATTGAATGGAAACTACTGCAGCAAGGAGAATTCAGAAACCCTAGCAGAGCTTTTAGAGACAACGGTAGAAATGTCTAAGTTTAAATCCATGCCTTGGATTCTGATTCTAATACTTATTGTAGGAGAAGTAACAGCTTTTGTAGTTCAATACTACCGAGCATATAAGCAAAGACTAAGCGTGGCTCCATCTCGAACTAACAAAGTGTTTGTTATTCCAACAAACAATAATC